AACAATATTGCAACAATATCACTGAATTGGGACATTGAAATTGTCTTCATATTGTACCCTTGTACCGGGGTCTCCGGCGTAGATGAGCGAACGTGCTTTAACCACTCGGCTACCCCACCGCTCCAGAGTGAAATAATACACCACGGGTACCCTGTATAACGTTTGTATGAATTAGTGACCGACTCGTGTTGTCAAGCTGAATTGTCAAACCGAAACATGAGCAGCCTGGTTCCCTGGCTGGGAATCAAACAGGGATAGAGTTATCGTTCTTGTTTAAAGTAGTTCTGATGTTCATGCGCCAATATGAAATCCTTCCAGAGGGGCACGAGTCGTTATTCGGCTTGTCCCGGAATAACACGAGTTGGTCACGAATGGGGCTTGTTATGGAGATTGTACGTGCGCTTCGACTAATTTTAGGAAATGTAATTATAATCGCTACCACTTTCAAAACAATAATATCGTATTTGTATGTAACTAATCAACCTTAATCTTTAGCATTGGGCTTATATTTCATAGCTCTGGGGATGTTTTTTGGTCATTCATATTTTTTCTAGCGAATTCATTTAAAATTCCACCATGGGTGTGACAGAAAGGTTACAAGAATGTTCAGCTTGAGAAATATTTTAAAGTCATTTTTGAGTATCTGCTTTGGGATTTAATGTACCTGAATTTTTATTTTTTATTTGTATATTCAATAAAACAATTCCCATTTGTGATGATTAAGTCCTATTAAGAACCCTATTAATTAACATAATTGGAAATAAAAGGTGAACAGCTGGTAATAATTACATTAGAATATGTCTTTAACAAATATGTTTTTATCCTTCTTTTAGTTGTATCAAAGAGGTTTAATTCTTTAAAATAAATAAGTAAAAAAAAACCCAAAACAACAACCTAGCAATACAATGTACATGTGCTTCGGTGATTTTTAGAAACATTGGAATCAAACAGGGATAGAGTTATCGTTCTTGTTTAAAGTAGTTCTGATGTTCATGCGCCATATGAAATCCTTCCAGAGAGGCAGCACGAAGCCGCCGGGCTTGTCCCGAATAACACGAATGGGTCACTTAATGTTTCCAGAGGGGCACGAGTATACGGGCTTGTCCCGGAATAACACGAGTGGGTCCGAATGCTTCCAGAGGGGCACGAAAGTGGCTAATTCGAGCTTCGTCCCGGAATAACACGAGTGGGTCTGAATGCTTCCAAAGGGGCACAATTAGTAGCTATTCGGGCTTGTCCCCGAATAACATGAGTGGGTCGCTAATGCTTCCAGAGGGGCACCAGTCGCTATTCGGCTTGTCCCGAATAACACGCAGGTGGAAGGGCTTAATCCTTCAAAGAGGGGCACAGTCGCTTATTCGGCTTGTCCCGAATAACACGAGTGGGTCACTCGGTAATGCTTCCAGAGGGGCACCAGTCGCGCTATTCAGCTTGTCCCGGAAGAATAACACGGTGGGTCACTTAATCCTTCCAGAGGGCACGCAGTCGCTATTCGCTATTGTCCCTGAATAACAATGAATGTGGGTCACGAATGCTACAGATATGTGCGTTTTCTATGAAAGCCTAATGCTGCCACTCTTGTGGCATAATTATTTTGGTTCTAATTGCTTCGATTATTTTGCCCGTGCTTTGGAATATTTTCTCGTTGTTTCAAATAGTTTCTCATTGCTTCAATTATTTTTTCGTTGCTTCCATTAATGGAAACTGTCTAAGTAAAGACCGCTTAACTAAACAGACCTGATAAGTAAACACTTTTCTTTGGTCCCGGCAAATTTCTTCATTAATTATCACTATTAGAGTCTGGTTAACTAAACTCGGATAAGTAAACAATACCGCTTAAATAAACGTCTTCTCACGGTCCCTGGAAGTAAATTACTTAACAAAAGATACTAGATAACTAAATTAGCGATCACCACATAATCCGACATGAGGGGCAGTCGTGTCAGTCTCCAGTCAAACAAACATCCTACTTACAGCTCGCTGGCGTCAAGCAGTTGGCAATACACTGACAACTGGAGGCCAGTCCTGATAAGTTGTTCATTGTTACATATGCATACATATACATGCATATGGTTGTCATTTGCAGTTTTTTATAAGTTTGGATAAGTAAAATACCTGATAAGTAAACAATTTTGGCGAGTCCCTTGAAATTTTACTTATCAGGTTTCCACTGTACCTTGTTGCTTAGAGTATTTTCTCGTTCCTGCAACTTTCTTTAAAAATCTTGAAGTAACGAGAAAATACTCGAGGCAACGAGTAAAACCTTGAAATTTCAAGTTTTGGAAAGAAAACAAAGGTTCAAAATAAAGGTTCGAAGCAACGACAAAATACTCGAAGCAACGAGAAAATAATAAAAAAACCAGCCACATTTGTGTTGAATACGTAATGGAAAAATATCTAGAATCTGTTGATTCAGGGAGTCTGAGTTCTCATTCATTCTTCTCCCGAAATCAATCGAGTGATTTCTCTGACTGCGAGAGATAGACGATGATTTTGACCTAATCTTTTGTCTGTCTGTTTGTTAACGCGACACACAGCTATATGACGGCTGCATGTACATAGTCAGTTCTGGACCAGACAATCCTAGGACTAATCTCTTTTTAATGACAGTCAAAGAAGTCAGAAAACTCATTTTACTTTCTTGATCTGGAAAGCGATTCTCTGACTTGTCGGAGATATATTGTTATCTTTGTACATCAACGGTAAATGATAAAGGGAGACAACTCTTCAAACTTTTGAGGCCAAACCTTGTTCAAATTTCAATTTTAATCATGAAGTCAGACGTGATTTTAAAGAAAGTGTACTGTACGTAAAAAATTAATGATAAAAAATAACCCTCTTTATACTATTTCATACTGACGTACGGGTTAATACTTCTTAACACCAGCGGTGGGGTAGCCTAGTGGATAAAGCGTTCGCTCATCACGCCGACCCGGGTTCAATTCTCCACATGGTTACAATGTGTGAAGCCCATTTCTGGTCTCCCCACCATGATATTGATGGAATATTGCTAAAAGTGGCGTAAAACTAAACTCAACCACCCACCTGATCCACTCTTATGTAAACATGTTCTATCTATCTATGTATCTTACTATCTATCTATCTATCTATCTATCTATCGTGGTGGAAAAGAATAAAACGGGTTGTTATCCATAAAACGTAGTCATGTTCTCAGGGTTTACCCCATAACGCAGACCTCCCAAAATGCAGATAAAAATAGCATACCAAATATAGCATTACAGTAAGAAAGGTCGTTCTGACGTAACACAAAGAAACGTCAAACGTGTTTATTAAGATATTAAGTTAAACCTAGAAGGTGCGATTTAACTTCATTGTAAGATATATCTATACAAAATATAACTTCTATCAACACTAATGTTTAGAAACAAGCTATAATTTTATGAGACACATAAAGAATATATTACCCTGACCAAGAATCATAGTTAACATGGGCATAAGATAGAACATGAGCATAGTATATGTCTGCTATAAAACATGTTGAAAACTGTTTGACAAATAAAGTGAATGAAACGTTAAAACGTTTCGGCTGACACAATATACTTTGAAGCGACAGTGAGATATCATTTTCACAGAGTGCCGCCCTTGAGATCAGGGTGTAAACAAGAAAAAACGTATTACAAGAAAACATGGTAACAGGTTCAGTAATCAAAGACAGGCAATCTAAAGGATACAATACAATGGTTATACAATAAATATTAATATTTGCACATAGGCATGGTTTACATGCTAAAAGTTATCTATGCTAAAAATAACCAGTGGTCTTGAGATCAGGGTGTAAACAAGAAACCCGTAATATAAGAAAGCATGGTAAAAGTTTCAGTAATAAAGAAGACAGTCTAAAGGATACAATGGCAATACATTAATGTTTGCACATATAGTTTGGCATGAAATGCATGTGGACCCGGTGTTTTGTAAATTTCTCTTCATCCAACGACCCAATCGATCTCAAACTGTGCAAGTGGGTGTTTTGTCAGACAACCTAATCACATGGGAAATCACCGATTTTATGCATTTGTATTAAAGAATCTGTCTATGTAACTGTCAACAAAATAAACAGCAGAACGCAGACGACTTGCAGAGGGAGGGAGCCAATGACCTGTAACAGCGAGAACAAGTGGGGTTGGTCTTAGTTAACGCTCATCACGTACATTTGTTTCAGTGTTCCAACTACTGCGCTTACCCCATTGTAATACAAACCAATAATAGCAATTTGAATCTATGATCGTTTGTTAGCAACTTTTATCCTAAGTTTAATAAATTATGAGATTGCACGTTATGGAATACTTTCCTAAACTGAATATTAAGGCATTACTTGTGTAATGAGACTTCGTCATTAATAGTACTGGAACAAGAGTATATGTGAAAATAGACATGGCTCCAGGTCGTGGAGACACGTCTAAAGACTCAATATCTATCTAAACAGATATCCCGACCCCCTTCTGGGAGCTGTCACCACCCCAGCCTCCTGTAATTCGTTCAGAAATAGCCTGGCCTTTGTCTTAAGCCTGGGAGGAACCCCAGGAGCGCTGATGAAGTACTTGTACTGTCGGTGGTCGGCATCGTGAAGTCTGAAACGACTGCCTTCACGCTGGAACTTCTGCCTCAGAGTCTCGATTCCCTCCACGTCGCTGTCGATGATGACGTTGTAAAGATGGCGGAGGACGGGGTTGACAGCTGAGCTGGTTCCGGTTGAGACAGGGAGATCTCGTAACAACCTTCTCTCTTCATCTTTGAGATGGTCGTTTGGAGTTAGCTCCGTGTATTTGACGACCATGTCTTTCTTCAGTATGTCATTAGCTTTTTGCTGTAGTCTTTGAGCTGCGTTCTTCAGTTCCAAGTTGTTGCTTCTCTTTGCTGCAAATAACATATTGAAGTGAGATAAAGTCGCAATGAAGGAGTCCCCTTGTGAAGTCATCTCTTCTTCTATCATCTTCAGCTCGTTCTTGAGAAATTCGATTTTCAACCTCCTGACACGAACAGGGAACTTGTCAATTTCTGTGATTCAGACCTGTCTCAGAGCTTGAATGTCATCTTCATCCGAAATATCAGCAAAAGCGGTATCGCTTGTGTACTTCGATTCAAACTGGCGCAGAACCTTCTTCACGACTGACATGAATTCATCTCTGTCTGACTTCACTGCTTCGTTCCATCGAAAGTTCAGCTCATAATCTACCCTTTCCCTGAAACGTCTCCTGAGATCCTTATCGTCAAGTATGCTGAAAACAAGAAGTATAATGTAAGTGTTACATGCAATGTGTTGTGGTTGATGAATCTAAGTATGAAACTTAGTTGAACTGAGATACAACAGGTGCTACTTGACTAGCCCTGTGTTACACTGTTGTTATGCACAGATGTCGGACATGTGTCAAGCCCGTCAAAATGGCCAGATGGTGCAGAATATATCAGTGAGAATTGCTGACCGATCCAGATTGTTAGTCGTTCGTCTGCCTTTAATAGCAGGCAGGACAGGCAGACACGGAAAGTCGGCAGATGATGATATATAAACGATAGTTCAACACCACTTATCGATGAGCCGAGCTGTTAATAGAAACGCGTCATTACAAGGTGTGGTGCAAGACACCAGGCTTTTGTTAGAAATGTAATTCCCCTAGTCTAAAGATAGTAAGAAATCCTATCGCTACTATTGGAAACATGACTTGGTGAATGATTGGATCCTCAGCCATGTCCTTGACTTTATCGACTGGTATCCCATCCCTATAGTATCGTCTGCGCTGATAATGAATATTTCCTCCGTCCATTTCTCCTGATAGTCACGTTGAAAGACATGTCTTAAATGGGACAGTCGCACCTGATCCCAAACTTTGAATTTAAAGGCTTTCCTTCTGGCTTCTCGAGACCCCCAGAGGTATTACACCTGATAATTACATCTTTGACCTACCTTTTCATTTTCTCATACACCTCGGGTATCAAAATCCGTACATCTGCACATGCGTAGTCAATCATTTCCGGTGTAAATTCTTTTGTTGCCCAATAAGCAGCATTACTTTTGTACAATTTGGCCTGAAACATACAAGTCAGAATCATACGGAAAGATTCTTTACCGTGTCACATTATGATGGTTTTAAAACATTGTTTGTGTTTATTTGCTTTAACGCGACAGTCAGCATTATTCCAGCTACAGACAATCCAGTGATCAACAGCAGGAGCATCGATCTATGCAAATGGAATACGATGACACTTGTCAACGAAGTCAGCGAGCCTGACCATCCGATCCCGTTAGTCGCCTCTTACGACAAACATCGGTTGGTGAAGATCAATTCTACCTGGTCTCCAGGGGTTTACTGAAAAAGCAAACCCCCACAATATCGGGGTACCCTGAGGATCTATGGATTGAGACGCACTGATTGAGACATAAACTGACCTACAAAAGAAAGTATAAACCGGCTTTGGCGGGGTTGACTGAGAATATTAGAAGCACACTTCAAAATACTAAGATGATATCATCAGCGAAGCGAAAACACTGACGGCACCAGCAGCAAAAACGTTTGGTCAACGCATTTGCAGCAGAACAGTGACGAAAAAATCATGCTGTCGAAATCCGGTCTATCGACTATTTCAGGTCTTTTCATTAACCTGTCGACATCAACTAAATCGTCCACGGTGGACGAGGAACGCGAGACGCTGACAACGTCACGATTTGGGAACAACTCTGTGGTATTTTTGTACAAAATGTTTGTGACCTGTCCCAATAAAAAAAATTTCCTTCTTGTTTTTGAAAATCATCCCAAAATACCAGGAAACCTATTCTCGAAACTTTCGTAGATCTAAAAAAATTTAACTTTGATCGTAGCCAGTGTGTTAAGAATGGGCTTAAGAAGTTCGTAGGGCTACGAACGTTTCGAGAATAGTTAGCCAGGTGTGTACTTTCAATTGTAAGTGAGTATATATACATTTCATTTTTCCCCATGACGCTTTTGCTGTACAAAATGTCTACGTGTGGCAGTATTTCTACATTTGTTAGCGAACTCAAGTGAGTTAGTAATAACACTTTCTTTTTTCCTCAGCTACGCGTAACCTACTATGACGTCTTCTTTTCCCGCAAGGGAAGTGACGTCAGTGTAGTGGCTGCAGACATCCATCAACTTCCGGGCATATGGGAGTTGTCTCCCTTCAGATTTTTCAATGATGAAAAGAGCCGTCTGTGGAAAATATGAAGTTACATGAAACAATTAATAGAACGCTTAAAAACGCACGTGCAGCGTATGGGTATGGTTGATGCTCACACGCGGTACACATACAGCAGACACATAGGTACACATACACCAGACACATGGGTACACATACAGCAGACACATAGGTACACATACAACGGACACATTGGTACGCACACAGCAGACACATGGGTATACCTACAGCAGACACATGGGTACACCTACAGCAGACACATTGGTACACATACAGCAAACACACGGTACACATACAGCAGACACATGGGTACACATACAGCAGACACATGGGTACACATACAACAGACACAAGGTACACCTACATCAGACACATGGGTACACCTACAGCAGACACAAGGTACACATACATCAGACATGGTCACACATACAGCAGACACAAGGTACACCTACAGCAGACACATGGGTACACCAACAGCAGATACATGGGAACACCTACAGCAGACACAAGAGCACACATACAGCAGACACATGTGCACACATACAGCAGACGCATGGTACACATACAGCAGACACATGGTACACATACAGCAGACACATGGTACACATACAGCAGACACTTGGGCACACATACAGCAGACACATGGTACACATACAGCAGACACATGGGCACACATACAGCAGACACATGTGTACACCTACCGCAGACACATGGGTACACCTACAGCAGACGCATGGACAAATATGCAGTAGTTGCATCTTGGCATACAGTAACAATGGGTGGTTGCACACAGATGCAAACTGGACAGGGTGGTTGCACACAGATGCAATAAGAATGGTGGGGTTGTACACAGATGCAATATGAATGGAGTGGTTGTATACAGATGCAAAATGGATGGGGTGGTTGTGCACAGAGGCAATATGGATGGGGTGGTTGTACACAGATGGGAGATGAATGGGGTGGTTGTACATAGATGCAATATGAATGGGGTGGTTGTACACAGATGCAATATGGATGGGGTGGTTGTACACAGATGGAAGATGAATGAGGTGGTTGTACACAGATGGGAGGTGAATGGGGTGGTTGTACACAGATGCAATATGAATTGGGTGGTTGTACACATATGGGAGATGGATGGGGTGGTTGTACACAGATGCAATATGAATGGGGAGGTTGTACACAGATGCAATATGAATGGGTTGGTTGTACACAGATGCAATATGGTTGGGGTGGTTGTACACAGATGCAATATGAATGGGTTGGTTGTACACAGATGGGAGATGAATGGGGTGGTTGTACACAGATGCAATATGAATGTTGTGGTTGTACACAGATTGGAGATGAATGGGGGGGTTGTACACAGATGCAATATGAATGGGGTGCTTGCACACATATGGGAGATGGATAGGGTGGTTGTATACAGATGCAATATGAATGGGGCGGTTGTACACAGATGGGAGATGGATAGGGTGGTTGTACACAGATGCAATATGAATGGGGTGGTTGTACACAGATGGGAGATGGATGAGGTGGTTGTACACAGATGCAATATGAATGAGGCGGTTGTACACAGATGCAATATGAATGGGGTGGTTGTACACAGATGGGAGATGACTGGGGTGGTTGTACACAGATGCAATATGAATGGGGTGGTTGTACACAGATGGGAGATGGATGAGGTGGTTGTACACAGATGCAATATGAATGGGGCGGTTGTACACAGATGCAATATGAATGGGGTGGTTGTACACAGATGGGAGATGGATGGGGTGGTTGTACACAGATGGGAGATGGATGGGGTGGTTGTACACAGATGCAATATGGATGGGGCGGTTGTACACAGATGGGAGATGAATGGGGTGGTTGTACACAGATGCAATATGAATGGAGTGGTTGTACACAGATGCAATATGAATGGGGTGGTTGTACACAGATGGGAGATGGATGAGGTGGTTGTACACAGATGCAATATGAATGAGGCGGTTGTACACAGATGCAATATGAATGGGGTGGTTGTACACAGATGGGAGATGACTGGGGTGGTTGTACACAGATGCAATATGAATGGGGTGGTTGTACACAGATGGGAGATGGATGAGGTGGTTGTACACAGATGCAATATGAATGGGGCGGTTGTACACAGATGCAATATGAATGGGGTGGTTGTACACAGATGGGAGATGGATGGGGTGGTTGTACACAGATGGGAGATGGATGGGGTGGTTGTACACAGATGCAATATGGATGGGGCGGTTGTACACAGATGGGAGATGAATGGGGTGGTTGTACACAGATGGGAGATGGATGAGGTGGTTGTACACAGATGCAATATGAATGAGGCGGTTGTACACAGATGCAATATGAATGGGGTGGTTGTACACAGATGGGAGATGAATGGGGTGGTTGTACACAGATGCAATATGGATGGGGTGGTTGTACACAGATGGGAGATGAATGGGGTGGTTGTACACAGATGCAATATGAATGGAGTGGTTGTACGCAGAGGCTATATGAATGGGGTGGTTGTACATAGTTGCAACTTGGGTGGGGTGTGTATGGCCTTGATTAGGTAGTTTGAGGCAAAACAGTGAAACACTTTCTCATTTGCAGGCAGAGATCAAGGTAAGTATCATTTTACAATACCTGCACGTCAAACACATTGTTCAGCATGACATCAAACTGACACTTGAGGGCGGCGCTGTCTCGGTTGCACGCGTGAAATACCTAAAAGTGAAAGAGTGAATGAGTTTAGTTTTACGCCGCTTTTAGCAATATTCCACCAATATCATGGCTGGGGACACTAGAAATGGGCTACCCCCCAAAAATGAAAGAAAGGTTGATTTGATGCTGAACTTTACGGCGCATCAACTTCACTGGTGGTAGAGTAACACAATTGTACAAGAGTGAAATCCTCTACTGAATTACTTATTTTCGCATACGTTTACCTACATTTATTCGCTTGTCCTCAAATACGAATTCGATGAATAGATGTGCGCACGATTAGAGTGAGTGAGTGATTTGATTATACGCCGCTTTTAGCAATAATTCAGCAATATCACGACGGGGGACACCAGAAATAGGATTTACACATTTGACCCATATGGGGACCCTAGTCTATACATATACATAATGGTTAACTGAATGGTTGATCATTATAACCATTCCATCCTGCCAAAAACGACGCGTTTTTTAAACTATATTTGTTAGTCCACCAACAAAATCCATCTAAAATCGTCAGCTCGAAGTACAAATGAGTGAGTGAGATCAGTTTTACGTCGCTTTTTGGTAATATTCCAGCAATATCACAACTTGGGACATCAGATATGGGCTTCAGGCAAATGTACCCATGTGGGGAATCGAACTGGGATTTTAGGAGTGACGAGCGAACGCTTTCACCACTAGGCTACCCCAATGCCCCAGGAAAACCCGAAGTGCAAAACAGCCGAAGTGCAAATAGGAGCCTAATAAATCGACATGGCGGAAAATAGAGGCAGTCGTGGGAATGTTTAAGATCTAATTTGAGTATGTTTCCTATCAGAAATACTGATTACTGTCATTACCTGACAGACATACCTTGACGATGTCTTGATTTTCCAGAAACGACTTCAGTCGGCCTTCAGTGAAGACCTTTGGCTCAACGAAAACATTGAACAAGTAGACAAAACCGTCTAGTTTGGCCACCTGGAGAAGAGTGAGAGGGCCCTTCTTTCCCAGATCGATTCCCTCACAGTCCACAGCAACGACAGGCTCCTGGAGGAGGTCATCGACAGCCTTGACGCAGTCATCCACGTTATCCACAACCTTGTGGCGTACTCCATCTTCTGCCATCTGCAAAAATAAAATAAAAAATAGCCTGTATCTTGTGCTTGCTTTCATTGTCCCTCTTTATTAGTGAGTTTATTGGAGTGAGTGAGTATGGTCTTATGCCGTTTTTACCAATATTCCAGCAATATCAGAGCTTGGGACACCAGAAATAGGCTTCGCACATTGTACCCATGTGGGGAATCGAACCCGGGTCTGAGGCATGACAAGCGAACGCTTTAACCACTAGGCTACTCCACCGCCCCTGAAGTCAAAGGAGGAACAGCTAAGATGACTTGATAAATAAAGGACCACCCGTCATAGTTGGTCAAACATTCGTTTTACGGTGTAGTATGATCCCAATGACAATTAAACAAGTGAGTTTATTGGAATACACACCACTGCCTCATGAGGGGCTATACACAACAGTCTGGTGTCTTTGTTCTGCCCAATACGAGACATTGTGATTTGTACAGTGTGTGACGCTGAGACATTGTTACATGATCATAGTTTACTGTGATAGCCGGAAGTGACGTAGGCTCAACATGGGGTTACAGTATGTGAAGCCTATTTCAGGTGTCATTATTGGAATGTTCTTTAACGTGGAGTTAGTAAACGGCCTTCTCAGAACTCAAACCCAAAGCTGAAATTAAGAAAGGCGTGTGTTAAGATCGCTCCACCGTGATGAGTGTCCAGTTTGAAGCGCTCTGCTGAATTTGTATAGATAGCTGACGTAAGCATCACGCGGTCAACGTCAATCACTCAGTGGGATCCGGAGGGATGGTGGTGGTAGTGGGTGCATTTGTTTAACGTTCATAATTAAATCACCCAGCGTTACATTTTAAAAACCAACTACAGCGAGACACTTTGTTAAAAAATTGACCCTATCTAACAGACGACCCAAAATATGTGAATTAGTTAGTTTGGGTTCGATTCCCCGCATGGGTACAATGTGTGAAACCCATTTCTGGTGTCCCCCGCCGTGATTATTACTAAAAGCGGCGTAACACCATACTCACTCTCTCACTTTCACAGTACTTAGCCTTGTAGCTACGGGATGTAAGTAATACACCAGCATTAGTAATGGAGTCGTGGTCAAACCCAGTGTCAAGGCATTTCTCTCTCTTTAATTAAAACTTACCTTAACTCAGAGCCAGTTAACACACGTCTGTAATGAAGCTTTCAACACAGCCACTATACTCATCGATCGAAATAAACATAAACCAAATACTGAGAATAGTAAATACGTCATTATTGTGGAATCGAAACAGAAAGCTAATTCTAAGAAACTAATGTTTCGTTCTCAGAAGTGCACGCGAGTAAGCTAGACTAAAGCTTAGTCTCTGAAAACATGTTATTTTGGTAGCAACAAACCACACCATTTAAACTGAAAAGCAGCCACAGTGAAATGGGACATTCAAGGCACGTCGAAAATCGGGAGTTGATTAATTAAGGGCTACAGGGCTTAAACATAAAGGGCTTGATGGTAGGGTTTGGGGACTGTGAGACAGGCTAGTGTGTAACACTTACAGGACACACAGACAGCGCACTGCAGTGGGCCGGTTTTAATACCTTTCTATTTTATAAGCTACCAAAACCAAGTGGGTGATCAATAGATACGTGCTGTCACGATCATCCATTGTGCGAAATGAGCTTACGCCTTTCCTATTACTTCGTGTTATCTTCACAATACTCCTTTAACATTAAATCATGTTATTTAAAGGTGGGGTTGTCAGAGGTATTCAGGACAGGGTCAGCAAAGAATGACAGTATCTAGGCGTGTGTTTTTTTATAAAAAACCAAACAAATAACCCATATGTTCAATTCTTGAAGCATCCAGAAAACACCCGATCTAGTTGCTAACAAAGATTTGGAGGGTATTATTGTCAGATTATCAGAATATAAATAACTAAGTCAGAGACACCACCAAGCGAATATCAATAACAAAATGTGTCTATGCTGGCGTTGTTTTATACTGGATATTCCGTTTAATAAATATGTAGGTCAGAACAACACTACTTTACTGTCAATATATAATACCTCACAATCAGTATATAATACCTCACTATCAGTATATACCACCTGACTATCAGTATATACTACCTCACAATCAGTATATACTACCTCACTATCAGTATATACCACCTGACTATCAGTATATACTACCTCACTATCAGTATATACCACCTCACTATCAGTATATACCACCTCACTAGCAGTATATACCACCTCATTAGCAGTATATACCACCCCACTAGCAGTATATACCACCTCACTATCAGTATTTAATGCCTAACTATCAGCATTTAAACCACTAGGGAAAGTTCATTCGTCACCACTCGCCCCTTTCCATAACCTCCAAGAAGTCTCGTCCCCCACACGATACTTGTTATGTGCGAAAATACGACAAACCAATCAAAACGCGCGTAAATGAGCGCAGTGCTTTGATAAAAATAATCCCGAGTACTTAAATCGTTTATGGCATTATGTTATGGTCTAAAGAATCATGAAAAATATATATCGTCATATTGAAAGTACAAAGAACGTAGCTAAAAGGATTTTGCTGCCTATTATGAAGTTTTTAATTAGAATCATGCGATTGACGGTGAGAGATTCAAATACACGCACGTGCGTTTGTTGACATAACTGCTTTCATGGGTCCAAGTGAGTGTATTTCTGACGATCTTGCGGGCTTGTTATGGAGATTATACGTCCGCTGCGACCAATTTTAGGAAATGTAATTATAATCGCTACGAGTTTCAAAACAATAATGTCGTAATTGTATGTAACTAATCAACCTTAATCTTTAACATTGGGTTTATATTTCATAGCTCTGGGGATATTTTAGTCTGAGTGTTTTTTTGGTCAGTCATATTTTTTTTCAGCGAATCCATGTGAAATTCCACCAGGGGTGTGACAGCAAGGTTACATGAATGTTCAGTCTGAGAAATATTTTAAAGTCATTTTTGAGTATCCGCTTTTGGATTTAATGTAGCTGAATTTTTGTGTGTGTATATTCAATAAAACAATTCCCATTTGTGATGATTAAACCCTATTGAGAAAATTAACATAATTGGAAATATAAGGTGAACCGCTGGTAATAATGACATTAGAATATGTCTTTAACAAATATGTTTTTCTCTTTCTTTTAGTTGTATCAAAGTGGTTTAATTCTTTAAAATAAATAAGTATAAAAATCCCCAAAACAACAACCTATCAATGTACATGTGCTTCCGTGATATTAAGAAACATTGGAATCAAACAGGGATAGAGTTGTCGTTCTTGTTTAAAGTAGTTCTGATGTTCATGCGTCAATATGAAATCCTTCCAGTCGCTATTCGGCTTGTCCCGGAATAACACGAGTGGGTCACAAATGGGGAAAGTTACGTCCATTGTTCTTGGAAGTGTTTCATTAGCATAGCTGAATAACTGCCCTTGGGCAATTATTTCTATTTAAAAACAATAAAATTGTACTCATTTTGATAACCTTCACCATGCCTAATACATTACACGCGTATTGAATAAGTATGACCTCGTGCATCCTCGATGATTGGTTGGCTTTTTTATCCAATCAGGTGTCTACGCTGGGAAGTTGAGCGTACCAATCACAACTCTAACCGATTAAACTTGGCAACACAATAATATATTGTTGCAGAGGTAGTCTGAAAGGGGTTATTCCCACTTGTCCGGCAGGCTGAGGGGATTAAGAGTTATGGGTGAATGGTTGTGCAAAGTTTGTTGATCCCTATGAAAAAAGGTCCCCCCTCATCCAGCCGGCTGGGGCATTAATGAACACCGCTCACCATATCCGGCAAGCGGATATGGCTGCAGTGTTTATTCTACCAACATGATGAGGTGAATATGGTTCACATGTCATGATTTTGACACCTAGAGAAAATACTAATTGTGTTTAATTTACACTAAAGTAATCAAATTGAATAGAATAAATCAGGTTGATGTGTATAATCAGGATACGTATAAAAGGGACACGTTCATGTTAACTGTCATTGCAAAATGGCAAACGCTCAGGTCAATGTTCGGTTTATTCCAAACGGGCCAGGCGGACAATACTTAGTTTACCGAAACTATAAATTCCGCGTTAAGTCCAGAAGAAGAGACACTGTCCACTAGAAGTGCTGCACAAAAGACTGCACCTCTACCATCAACACCAAGAAAAACCTTGTCAGCAGCTTGTAGAAGACAACATGTTTCCCCTAGTGTATGGACTTTTACCAAGCAAGTCAGAGCAGACATACAATCGGTTCTTCGCGAGCAAATCAACTGAACCTCCGCCTTGCAACAGAAAACATCTTTACCGACTATGAGTTTGCTGCCCTGAAAAGAGTCTTTCCCTCATGTGAATTCAAAGGATGTTTCTTTCATTATGGTCCATTCTCTTCCCACAGAGGTTACTTGTCATATCTTCCTACGAACCTCTGTTCTAATACGGCCATATTTCCCGGTTCTCGTACAATCCCCTAGCGGCAAAAGATCGCAACACGAATTATCTCCCTTCTTTCCATCTAATCAGAACACGTGTTACATCGACTGAGATTCAACTTGACTAACACAAGCAAATGTGGGGCCACAAATATCCCCCATCTGCCGGGGACTTGTGTTGATATTACACACAAGACGTTTAATGGCTAGCTTGTCCGTTGTCAACGAGGGCGATGGAGACGCCACTGATCCGCCATCCGACTGAGTTCTGTCTAGAAGAAACGTTTGCGCATCGCGCAGGGGAAGAGGTTTAGTTTTCTCGAAGCATACGGAACTTACCGAGGCCTTGCGAATGATCACTTTTGAAACAACGTCGCTGATTGCACAACTAAATCTGCTTGCCTCCAATCACGAGTCTTGAACGCTCACACCATGAAAGGGTCGTATTAGAACAGAGGTTACGTAGGAAGATATGACAGGAGTAACCTCTGTGGGAAGAGAATGATTATGGTCAAGCTGTGTGGAAGAATGTTCAGAAGTACAACTTGACAAACGACTACAAGAGCAACCCTGCTGTGTCCCTCCTGGTGAGACGGGCAATAGCACTGCCGCTAGTGCCTGTTCATCTAGTGCGTGATGTTTGGTGGCAGACTTTAGAGCAAGCCCCCGATGGTCAAAATATTGAACATTTCACGGACTATATGACAACGTTTTGGGGGGAAGGAAACCACGGGCGATGTTTGTGGAACCATTACAACACATTGGGGCCACGTACCACCAACCATGTGGAAGGCTGGCACCGAAAGCTCAGCCTTCAAATAGCCAGCTCACATCCGAACATTTTTAAGTAAATAGACTTTATAAAATGAGCAGGCATACACGGAGGCCAGCAAGACATAAGTGTATTGAGCTTGAAATAATTATTTTTTAACATAAAGGTTTTATGCATCTTAAGAAACATCAGTTTGAGTAACATCAATAACAGGTCATATACACTAAACGCCAAAAGAAACGTTATCCTCCTTCCTTAATGACGGAGGAACCTATCTACAGCTGGCGTTGTGATGCATGGACGTCCACTTCTTGGTCTGT